AGATAAAGTCAGTATGACCAAGGTTTTTGAGTGGTGAGTAATGATACTGACTAATTTGCTCTCTGTAATTTTCTACATGACTTCAATTCCTAAAAATAAGAAATATTTTTCAGGTTGGGCACGGTGGCTCAAGCCCGTAATCCTAGCACTTTGGGAGGCCGAGGTAAGAGGATTCCCTGAGCCCGCAGGCTCAAGACCAGCCTGGGCAACTTGGCAAGGCTTCATCTCTACAAAAAAAAAAAAAAAAATCAGCCAGGCATGGTGGCACATGCCTGTAGTTCCAGCTACTTGGAAGACTGAGGCAGAAGGATCATGTGAGCCCAGCAGGCCGAGGCTGCGGTGGCCGGGAGTGTGCCGCTGCACTCCAGCCTGGGCAACAGAGTGAGACTCCAACACACACAAAAAAGAAAGAATATTAAGTACAACAAATGGCTATCAGTCCAAGCCCCCTCTCTAGCACTTTACACGGGAGCCAGAAATAACAAGTCAATTTGGTAAGAAAACATGGCAAGAATAACAGCATGGCACAAGGGCTGGATTGGCAAAAAAAAAAAAAATTTTTTTTTTTTGAAACAGGGTCTTGCTCTGTCGCCCAGGCTGGAGTGCAGTGGTGTGATCATGGCTCAAACCCGTGGGCTCAGGTGATCCTCCCACCTTAGCTCCTGAATACTGGTACTACAGGTATATGTCACTATGCCTGACCAAGTGTTTTTTTTTTTCTTGGTAGAGATGTGTCTCACTAAGTTGCCCAGGTATTTCTTGAACTCTTGAGCTCAAGCGATCCACCTGCCTTGGTCTCCCAATGTGCTAGGATTATAGGCATGAGCTACTGTGCCAGGCTGCAACATTCTTAATTATAAATCATGGCTTCAAATTTATATGTAACTCATATGCAGACAATACTCGTCTAGATTTTCTTTTCATTTATTTTGAGTTGTAGTCTCACTCTGCCACCCAGACTGGAGTGCAGTGGCACACTCATTGCCACCACAGCCTCGACCTGCTGGACTCAGGCAATCCTTCTGCCTCAGTATTCCAAGGAGCTAGAACCACAGGCGTGTGCCACCATGCCTGGCTATAGGTTTTATTTTCACCAGTGTTTCCTTAAAATTTCAAGCACATTCGCCTCATGGTTACTCTTCCAGGTAGGGAAGGCAGGTGATTCTAGGCTCTCTGCTACATAACGTTTATTGGTCAACAGAAGCGTCATGCTCTTATTAAAGAGTTTTTTCATACGTACCCACAAACTCAAAGACCTATGGGGGAGTCAAGAAAATATGCCATAGGCCATTGATGCTGAAATCATTCTGGGACAAAGGCAGAAGCCCGGCAGTTGCATATGAATTCCTAAAGAACCTGTCTGTCCGCTGAGACCTCAAGGTGGGGGGATAGGGGTATGTGGAAAAGCTGACCATACTGGGCCTGTGGTGGATCTGAGTATAAGAGCCACCAGTAGGAAATGCCAAGGTGAGTCAAGCATGGCCCTGGCCTCAGCCCTTGGCCTGGAGGCAGCTGGGAAATGGAGTTCTTCCCTGAATGGGTCTTTGAACACACTCAAGGTTCTGACTCTACTGTTCATCATTCTCTTGTGGGTGTCATTTCTCAAAAACTTCTCATTTATACGCACATGGTTTCTTAAATTATGATTATTTTAGAGAATCTGAAAAAATATTTACTATAATAAGCAACAAAGTATCTGTGTCTTATGTAAATAGAGACTACAAATAGAGTAATTTAGCCATTTTCCAAGATGCCTTACAGAAAAAAACAAAAAGGAAAGGCTAATCTCATATTCTTCGGGCTAGTTCTTCCATCATCTCTCCAGCTAATAAAAAGGATCCCCTGAGGGTATTTTGTAAACCTACAGAACTGAAGGACATTCTGCTCTAAGAACAGAAACACACTGTTAACACATAATACCAGGCACATAGTAAGTACTCAGTAAACGCCTGAATTTAATAACTGTCCTCTCTCTTTGACATACACATACACATACACCCCAGCTAGATTTAAATCCAGCTGGCAAAACTAAACACAGGTAATCAAAGTTAACCTAGCAACTGTCTGTTCAGGAAGCAGGAATTCACTATATCAATCCTAGCTCTAAGCTGGAAGCAGTGGCACGCCTATAATCCCAGCTACTCAGGAGGCTGAGGAGAAAGAACTGCTTGAGCCCAGAGGAGTTCAAGTCCAACCTGGGCAACATAGTAAACCCTCGTCTCTTAAAAAAAAACAAAAACCAAAAACCAGCTATAAACTGCTTCTACTTTCTCAAAGGAAAATCTAGAGAAAAATACCTTTTAAAGACTATAAAAAAGTCACTTATTCCTGTAGCAAAGAGGTAGTGGTTACTTTGGAACTGCCAAGGAGCAGGGGCCAGGGTCTGTGCTCAGTGCCTGTTAGGGAATGTGCACATGCACCCAAGTGTATGAGTCCTGTCCTGGGGTGGGGTGGGGGGGAGATGGGGGCAGTAACAAGGACAGGCCTGGGTTCCTGCACACATATCACACACTGACTGCCCTACACATTTAGGGCTGGGTGCAATGGAAGCATTCACCAGAGGTAGGATTCATTCAAGAGCTTTAGACTTCCAGGTAGTTGGCACTCTTATTTTTAGTGCTCCATTTTGCATATTTAAATTTTCCTATGACTATTTTTCTCTTAAAAAAAAAAAAAAAGATTAGTGGAAGGATTCTATTAGATATTTGTCAACTAACCACCATGGAATACCATTTCTGATTTTTGGGTGGTCTATTAGTCCAAACCAAGTAACTAAACAAAAATACACTGGTACATGGTGGGCCAGGGATTAGACTACCTAAATGACATTCATTCACTCATTCATGAAATACCCAAGCCTATTGTGGTTAAACAGCAAACACAGTGGATTATAAATTCAAGGCTGACAACCACTGAAGGAATGTAAATTGGTACAACCACTTTGGAAAACAGGCATCAACTAGTAAAGCTGAAGACACACACCTGACCCAGGACTGCTCATAATTGCCCCAGACTAGAAACAACTCAGATGTCCATCAACAGTGGACAGATAATAATCTGTGGTATGTTCATACAAAAGCGAGGTAACTACAGTCACAAGCAACAACATGGATGCGTCTTAAAAAACAGCATGCTCTCATCAACAAGGGTACCTGCATAATGAACATTTGTATAGCTAACCCTGAATTGTACCCCACATCTTTAAAATAAAGAAAAAAAACCCAGCATGCTGCAGGAATTTAAACAAACAAAAAAATTATGGTTGTGTGTATACATGATGTTGACCAAAAGGAGGAAGGACACAAAAGTATACCAACTTTGATGTCATTTGCATAGAGGTGAAAACAAGTAAAGTAAAACAGATATTTCTATGTAGGGGGTAAAAATATAGAAAAGAAGCAAGTGATTTCCAGAAAAGCCAGGGCAGTTTCTGGCTATCCAACTGGGAGGGGAGAGAGATTTTTCTTGGGAAAGAGGAGGGGAATTTTAGTTTCACATTTGGGTTTTCTTTGAAGTAATTCAATCAAGTTATCCATTCATTTTAGGCCCTTCTTTGCATGTTACAGTTCACAATTTAAAAAGTTGCATAAACCGGGCTCGGTAGCTCAGCCTGTAATCCCGTGCCTTGGGAGGCTGAGGTGAGTGGATTGCCTGAGCCTGCGGGTTCGAGACCCACCTGGGCAACTTGGCGAGACCTCATCTCTACAATAAATCAAAAAATCAGCCGGGCATGGTGGTGCGTGCCTGTAGTTCCAGCTACTTGGAAGGCTGAGGCGGAAGGATCGCCGGAGCCCAGCAGGTCGAGGCTGCGGTGGCCGGGAACGGCTACTGCACTCCTGTCTGGGCGACAGAGTGAGACTCCAACTAAAAAAAATAAAAAAATAAAACTAAAAAAAATAAAAAGTTGCATAAGTGCAATGTAATGTTGATTTCCAGAAATTAAGAATCATTACAATTCTGGCCCATCCTCTCTGAATGTCACTGATAGGCTTATCAGCTTCCTAAGGTCAGGGACCAACCTTATTTGCCTTTTCCCCAGTATTCAGCAGATGCCTTTAGCATGGTAAAGTCCTCAGCAAATGTTTAATACATAAGTCCGTAAGTTCCTAACATGAATTTTGTTTTAACTCACCTACTGCCTGAAATTACTGATTTGAACAATGCACACTTTAACACTTTCCTTTCCTTTCTTTGTCTTCACTCCAGTGAAGGTTTCTTAAATAATAAAGCTACCACTTTAAATGTTAGCTCTGTAAGTTTACACCCAGGCCACTGTTGCTTTAGCAACTCTCCCTGCCTTCCACTCCCTTTGATGCCTCTTTAGAAGCAAAGACAAGACAATACACTAGTAGTCCTGGATATATTTTTTTAAATAGGAAAGCTTTCTTCTGTATGTAAAAATAAAGCCTATGACTGACTACTTTGAAATTGCTTAAAAAGGAGGCATTTGCCCATTGTCCTGACAAATGCCATCATCATATAATCAGGATTATTAAAACTGTACAGGATTATTAAAACTGTACAGCTGGCTGAACTTAAAAGCATGCTACCTGTTTTGGACAGAAGCCAAATATTTATGACCAGGACCAGTTGATTTCAAAATAATAAATTTCAGTTAAAAAAAAAATCTCTGTGTACATTTATGAAAATGCTTAGAAAAGTCTAAAATGATACACACAAACTGATAAAGACACACACAGCAGTTACTTTTGAGAAAGATGCTCAAAAAAGGCTTTAACCTTATCAGTAAAATTTAAATTTTTACACAGATGAGGGTTAACATACTCCTTGTGATACTGGGAAGCAGCATTTTTAATCCATCTTGCCTTAAAACAAAATCCCTGTTGCAAAGGAATCCACCAAATAAATCCCTCCCTAAGCCTCCCTTTAAAAAATGCTCAAGTTTTCAAGGATTTCCTGGACTTATAAGCCTTGCCAGTTTTCTATTATATGACTATACATTCATGCCAATCTATTAAAGAACATTACAGAATTCATACCTGCAGTCAACCAATATGAACAACTTCAGAGAATTCGAGATAGACACGTCCGACACTGACATTAAAAAGACCTGGAATGTAGGAAACTGTCTCCAGTTTTATGGGGGAAGGCCAAAAATATCAAGCAACTACTTCTCCTCCCCCAAGCGTCAGAAGATGAGTCAGAGCTGGAGGCAGGAATAGGGCCCATGTGTCAAGCCGCCTGTGCAGGGCTCCTTCTTACCTCCTCCCGGCAACCTTCTTCCCTCACCCAGGCCCAGGCCAGTCCCTAGTGTGAATTCTGGGGTGTCTTTGGCCAAGAAGAGGTGGTTATTTACCATGGGGGTGCCTCATTCTCTGCATTTCTCAAAGAAACCGAGACTGAGGGCTTTTAGGAGTCCACAGGTAACAATAACCCAGCTGCAGCTCTAGGGAGTGGAGCTTCCAGACACTCTCACACAACTTTGCAAAGAATACAGCACCTTTGTTCCCTTCGTTTTAAAGAGCAGGAAGGAAATAAGCAGAGAGAAGCTGTGACTTGCCCAGTGTGACTTAACTTTGTGGCAGAGCTAAGTCCCAGGCAGAGCTGCCATCAGAAGGCCTTGGTTTCTTTGACTTTTAACTGATCTCTACAATCTCAGGGCAGGGCTTTCAGCATTCCATTATATTTCTGACCGGCCTTATGGGCTAGGAGTTCAAGAAGCTGTGGGTTAAACCTCTTAGTCCAAATTCCCTTAAGGTTAGTAAAGAATCCGGAGTTTGCTCCTTGCCTCTGTTTTCACATCCGTAAAACGGGATGGTAGGTTCTCCACCTACCTATCTTATAAAACTATAATGAACAGCTAACGAGTTAACACACGTTAAATGCCTTGAGGTCCTGCTGGATGGAAAGTACAAAGTGGTTAAAAAAAAAAAAGAAACAAAAACAAAAACAAAACCCTACACAGGATAACTACATGTGAAGTCACTCCTTGCCTCTGGGATGCCCAGTTACCATAACACTGGCTGGTCCCACTGGCAACATCCACCTAAATAAAATATAGTTATACAATCCGCTTAGGGCGGCTACAGCATGCACCTCCTTCTCTCACGAACAACTCAACTTCGCTCGGGAGAGCAAGGGTACTTAGGAGAAAGAAGACATATGTTAGCTCGGTGCACACCAATCTACTACCGCAGAGAAAGACTCAAGTTAGACACTTGGCATCGCTGAAAGTCAAGTTGCTTCTAGCAATGCACCAGAAACCTTTGGAAGATGCAAAAAGCCTCGGCCGGCTCCACAGCGGGTGGATGCCGTCGGCGGGGTGAGGAGGCCATGGCGGGCGGGAGAGCAGAGGGGTCAGGAGGAGGCAAGAGTGGGAGGAGCAGCCGAGGTTGCCCACGAGCCCGTGCAAAGGGCCGGGGTCCCGAGCCGGCGCGTGGGCAGCGGAGGAGGGAGGGTGCTGGCCCAGGGGCCAGAGGCGGGGACGCGGCGGAGGTCCCGGGCCTCTCTTCCCCCGCCGCCCCCAGGACGCGAGAACCGCCCGGAGCAGGTGGGGGCGCCGGCACAAAGTTTCTACAGACAAGGGTCGCGCGGGCCTCAGGGTCCCGCCAGCGCCCAGGGGCCCCGTCGGCGCCAAGTGTCGCCCCCCGGACGCCCCCCGGGCCTGCGGGCCCCCTACCGGCGCGGCTTGGCTGGCGGCTGGGCTCCGTCCTCCTGCACGGCTCGCGGCTTCTGCGGGCTGGGCGCCGCGCGCGCCCCTCCTTCTCCCTCCGCCCGCGCCCGGGGCGGGCCGCGCGCACGCTCCCGGGGCGGGGGGGGTGGCGGGGGACGCGGGGCAGCCGGCGGCGCGCGTGCGCGCTGGGCCAGTGCGCCGTGCGGTGCGGCCGGGCTCGCCACGGGCCTCCGCGATGGTCGCTTCGCCTTTCCCCGGGCGCCCCTCTGTTCTGGGGTCCCCTTCACTTGTCTCCCACACCTACACGACCGCTCTCTTCCCCACTCAGCGTCCATCTCCAAGCCCAGTTGAGGCGGGGGTGCAGGGGTGTGCTGTCCCAGGGTGCTTTCTGGATTTGAGGGGATTAAAGGCGAGGAAAACAATACAAAGAAAGGTGCGAAGGCCGCAGCTAGTGACTAGTCGCCACCTCTCACTCCACCCCGACCCCCTCTCCAACGCGGCGAGCCCAGGAGTTGGGACGGAAGAGTGAGGGGAAATACGTCTCATGGCAACTGTTGGATGGATCTTGCTTGAACAGGTAGGGGCAGTTGCTGGCAGCCGTGGGAAGCTGCATCGCCGAGACTCAGGAGGGATACGTGTAGGATATAGACAGAGATTCTGCTGCGCCCACCACTGCACCACAGGTGTCCACCCGAGCCTCAGAACGCCACAAGCGCAGCCTGTGCCCATGGAGGCGCTAAGGGCTCCTCTGCTGCTATTCTGAGAGTCTTTTTAAATTTAGGTGTGCCCACCTTTGACTCGAGTAGATGCACAATGGGCTTTTTTTTCAGCACAAACCTGCCCTCCCTTCCGCCTGTGGCAGGTGATGGGAGGCACGGGGGAGGGACAGACGACTTCCTCGAGGCTCTGCAGTGAGTCAAGACACCTAAGAGTCGGGACTCCATGCCCAGTCCTTTACTCACCAGACCTCCCCATCGTGGTAAATCGTCGGCCTCAGAGCTGCTGAACAAACGATCAGTCATAGGTTTGCGGGGCGGGGTTAGTGGGGGAAGTAAAAATTACGCTTTGGGTTTACATCTCCCCAAAACTTCAGCCAAAAGCTTTGAGGCTTTTTCATGGTTCTTCCTGATGTCCACTGGTCAAATGGATTCAGAGTCAGTCTACGGGTGCTGGAATATCTAGAAGTTTTGTCTGCTTCCCAAAAATGTAACATCAAAGACATTTCAGTGATAATCCTAGGAGAGCTAAAAAGGCCTAGACTGGAGAGATTTATTTTTGCTGTCATAAAAAGAGAATCAAAGCTTTAAAATTAGGCAAAATTAATCTAAGAAAAAACAAAGCAGAATATGATTCAGGAAAGCACTAGTTCAGATCTTGCCTGGGAAAGGCATCTCCCCAACACTATATGGTTCCATCAATTCGTCTAGTGACTTATTTTGGACATGCCAATACAAAAATAGCAGAATCTCTAATAGAAATGACAGTGTGCTGCTTTCATTTCTGTTCCCCGCCCCCCAGTCCTTCGTTCAGTCAATTCAGTGACTCAGCAGCACAAATAGATACATCCCTCTTCAGATTCCAGCTTGTTTGTTACACAGAAGCCAGGTTTCCAGAGCAAGCTGTAGTTAGTGACAAGGAGCTGGGCATTTTCATGGATTATGGGAGCTAAGCCCACCATGAAGAGTCATACCCTAATCAATGAAAAGGAGGGAGGTGGGTTAAAATAGGGTTCATGTTGAGTGTGAGGTGTGTGTAAAGATTTAGATTATGTAGGAAGAAGTGCTGAAGTCAGGAAGACCATTTAATGACTGTACATATATGCCTGTGGGTAGGGAGGTGCTTTATGCCTTTGCAGAATGTAGAAGTGCGGGCTTATCCACATCTCTACAAAAATTGCAATTTGAAGGTGTTGTCCTCCGAACCAGTACTGTCCGACAGAACTGTGTGTAATGGCGGACGTGTTTTTGTTCGTGACCACTAGCCTCATGTGACTACCGAGCACTTGAAATGGGACGAATGTGACCGAGGAACTGAATTTTAAACCTTATTCTATTTTAATCCTTTTTGTTTTCAGTTGGAGTCTTACTCTGTCGCCCAGGCTGAAGTGCAGTGGCATGCTCACAGCCACTCCAGCGTCAACCTGCTGGGCTCAGGCGATCCTTCTGCCTCAGCCTTTTGAACAGCTGGAACTACAGGTGCAAGCTACCACACCCGGCTAAGTTTTTTATTTACTGTGGAGTCGAGGTCTCACCAAGTTGCCCAGGCTGGTCTCGAACCCCTGAGCTCAGGCAGTTCTCTTGCCTCGGCCTCCCAAAGTGCTGGGATTACAGGCTTGAGTCACTGCGCCTGGCTCTTTAATCAACTTAAATAGCCACATGTGGCTAGTGGCTATCTTACTGGACTGCACACTTCTAGACTATAAATATGTTTCTTTATAGGTGTCAACTATTCAGATGTAGAAACCATTTGAGACTGTCTGCTACAAAACTACAATTTGTCTGTGCCCAGGGAGGGTTTGGATCCTCCTGACTTCCAAGTAAATAAGCAGTGCTTTAGAGCAGCACAACATCCATGCATAAGAGTTGATCTGATTAACACAGTAAATAGAGGGTGGAAACTTACATTCTGCTTAGCTTCTGATATCTGCCTTTCAAAATAGTCTCCTTAATTGCTTGGGCAATGACTGTTCCTTAGATTAATCAGAGATGGGTCCCTCAGAAAGAATAGTTGCATCTTCCATTTGTATTGTTGCCTCTGGTTAACAAATTGGCAACAGTTTTGATATATCTGTCAGAATTGAGGAACAGAGGTGATCAAGGCCTCCCAGTTTACAGAAGTTTGATTTCAGGGTGCCATCAGGTCCTGCGGCTCATGAAGATTTGACAGGCCTGCTTGCTAGTGCCTGTGATTCCACTGATGGAATTGATGGCTATAAAAATGGAAATCCAACCTAGGCAACATATTGTCTCTGCAAAAAAAAAAAAAAAAAAATTGCCAGGTATACTGGCATGTGCCTGTAGTCCCAGCTTATTCAGGAGGCCTGAGTTCAGGAGGTAGCAGCCTCAATGAGCTGTGATCTTGCCGCACTCCAGCCCTGAGCAACAGTGTACAACTCTGACTTAAAAAAAAAAAAGCAAATTCCCTGAGATAAGTCAATCTTTAAGCTACTGTCCCTGTCAGTTCCCTGTCAGGTTTGAGAGTGACAGTGGACCCCAGGTTTCTGGGATAAAACTCTATGAATTGGAAAAAATTAAAAAACGAAAAAAAAATAGCAGGATACAAGTCTCAAAACACATTTCATCCACTAAAGAAGTTTGCCCAAGGCTTGTGCTATTTCTTAAGATGTAAGGAAGCACCTTATATGGCTAGCATGGAATTAACTAGATGTTAAATGTAAAATACTTTAGACTTCTATTTTTCAGATTTTCATAGTTCTCACAAAATTTATTTTTCCATTAATAAAGCACTGTCACGTTATAAAAAGAGAGAGAGAGAGAAAGCATCACCTACCGTAATTTTAT